GCCTCTAGTAAGTATTGTATGAATGCATTCCAATTGATTTACAAGAGAATCTTGTAGCCCACGATTATTTTTCTTTTTCTCATTATGCAGCTGGATTTACTAGTCTTGTATATTAAAATTAAACAAAGTATTGAACTGCTGATATGTATGTCCCGACTGCTTATAATTTCTACATACTAGAGTATATTCATCATTGGCTCTTGGATTGGAATATTCACTAGTATAATGTCCTATTTGCTTGCAATGTTAACATCAAAGTGGTCTTTTTCTAACTCCATCAGGAATATTGGATGTTTCTACTAGTATATATTGGCTACGCATGTTCTAAGTTGGATGGATAAATGATCCCAGTTGTCAAATTGGTATTGTAGAATCTAAAATTGGTTTCTAAATGGATGGATATTGAAGATATCCTTGCTGATTTTGCTCAATATGTTGAGAATTGGATCCATATTCTTGGTTAAACCTAGAATTTTGAAAGTTAGAAAAATTCCTATTTTGTTTATTCGAACAATTTCCGCTTTAACCAAACCTATTTCCTGTCTGGACTTGATTAACATCCTACAAAGTCGGTTGAAGCATGGTCTGATTACCAAATTGTTGTTGCTTTTGTAAATTCTAATAATTGGTAGTAGCATGCTTACTCCCACAAAATGTACATTATATAATCATTTGGGGTGGTGAAGAACATTCTGTTATCATATGGCCTTGTCCTTTATAATTATTGCATCAAATATTGGGACACATATTGGTCGATTTATGCCTCTTCTCCTTATCCTTTGCTAGATTAATAACCAATTCATCTATCTTCTTTGTCAAAGTTAACAACAAAGCCTCATTTGGATCCTTTGATATTATTTCATTAGGTAATTCTTTTATAGGGACTGATTTTTGGTATAGGAGGTGTAGCAAATACGGAACTGCTACTGTTGGTAGTATAGATTACAATGGAATAATATTAATTATTCTCTATAGATTAAGATTTGTACCATAATCAATCATGCTTGGATAACTGTCCACTACTTCATTCCAAGCTGACATTTCATAACCTCTCTAAGATGGAATCATCATGGCTCATGTGGTTAAGAATTGGTCATATTGACATTCTTTCTATACCTTAGCTAAATCAAGTGAGGAAGTAATAGTGGCCGGTTGGGCTTTCTTTACAAACATCTTCAATTCTGGTGGATATAGTCCATTTATCAATATAGACAAAACAAACAAATCCAACATTTGATTATTTGGCCATTCAAAAAGGATATTTGCTATTCAGCCATAATATGACTGCACTGTTTCTCTTCGTAACATTCTACTATTCATTAATGTTTCCCTGAGACGTTCTTCAAATCTAATTGGTCAAAAATGGATTAAGAATATATTTTTCAATGCCTTCTAATTAAGAAACTAGTCCATAGGCTAGCGATTATACTATTCAAATGATGTATATTTCAAGGTCTCTAGCAACCATCTCAACCCAAATATCTTTAGATCTACTATTGTTAGCTACACATACAGTCAAGAATTGAGACAAATGTTGATCTAGATGTGTACTTGATAAGCCTCTAAAAGTAAATAATGGAGCTACATTAGTTGTGCGATCACCCTCCGCACCCATTTGAACCACAATTGGAACTACTAGGCCCCTCGTCGCCATTGAAGATGACAACGTTCCACTTAATTGCTTATTAAAATAAACATTATCTTCTCCAATTGTCTATTTCTGACTTTCAAACTTCCTCAATTTTTTATTATAATTCACAGATAATTTTATGGATTGAATTAGAGGTAAAAATGATGGATTTTAAAACATGCTAAATTGGCCCTTATTGGCAAGCAATTTATGCCATTTTAAGGAACCAGTCTTATTAGAATTGGTTGTACCTGCTATTGAAAAAGTATCCAATAGAGTACCCAATCCTTTTATGCCTCCTTTACTTTCAATTAACAGGCTTAAGAGATATGCTGGATTGTTAACAAATTTTTTTGTGAGTACTCTTGGTAGTTTTCTTAATAGTATATATCATTGAAATATTAACGGTCTGTCAAGTTCTTAGTATGCTTGAATATGCCAACAAGCATGCAACCATGGTTTAATCCAACTTTGTTGACACTTCCTTTTTAGATTAAGTTGCTCATTCTGCAACAAATTTCTTGCTTGGACTCTTTCCTCTCTTCCTTTCAACTGGCGTGTTTTTCTTAATGTGATGTTTTCATTCTTATTAATCATAGTCTTTTATCATAATACTGAAATTACTTTCCATTTGTAATTTAACTGCACATATAGCTTCACTTTCAAACCACGATCAATTTTGTAACTTCTTTGTGTGACACCACAACGACACGTTTGGCACTTAATTCTTAACACTCAATACTATTGTCAATTCTTCGGCAACAATGCCAAAATGTAATTGTCATTTTACTTACTCTAGACTAATCTAAACGAAATAAACCTATATAGGTGGGTTCGAACAAAAGAAAAGATTATGTTCCTTAAAATTACATGCTTATTATTCCCTACCAATTCACTTAACAAGTTGTGAAAATGCTGATAATATTGCCCCTTAAAATCACTCACCTTCCAAAATCTTATGTCTCGCCAATTGGTCATCAGATCCTCCCTCTTGTCCCTTTTTGTCAATTCCACAACCTTTGTTTCAGTCCCATAGCCTACCAACAAGAGCCAAATATCAAAGTTAGATTCCAAATCTCCTGATAACACCCAAAAGAATTAAATAATCAAAATAAATAAATAAAGAAAGAAATGCAGCATCATGGAACATCCCTACCAATACGAAAGTACTGATCTCCATCAACCATTTTACAAACCACGCCCTAGCTTACAGTGTGAGGTAGCAAAGCACGAAGTGGGTCTTCATGCTGCACGAAAACACAACCAACAAATCTCATCTTCTACGCGATCTTCATACAATATTGCACCTGAGTGTTACTTATCTCCTTCCCTGCCGTCACACAACTTCCAGTTCGTTTTGCACTTGACCTATGTGCAAAAGAATAAAGCATTCTGGTCACCAAAGCTCACACCACACCCTTCACCCTAAAAAATGGCTTCAAATCGATGCTTCTTTATGCACCCCACACGATACTCCACCTCATACTGATAATCTTCCAGCTGCACCATTTCAATCAGCACAAGCATAAGTAGGTCCCGAACATAATGCACACAGCCTGTCGTTACGCCCTTCGTGACGGCAATGTAATTATCTTGGCAATGCACCTTACCCTAGGAAATCCTAAATTGTGCAAAGGTTCAGCTATGGCTGTGACCCCAATTCACTCGTGACCTCACGTGTCTCGCCTCTATTTGCCTATCTGTGACTTGCCTGCTATCGGTGTCTATGTCTTTTTCAACTACCTTGAGATGCATGAATTCCTGCTCTCTCTCCAGCTTGAGAAGAGCCCACCCTGCTTTCCTATAATTCCAAATGACTTCAAATAGCCCTCAAGGTGCACATCTCAGTGCTGCAAACTTCACTTCGTTACTTGGTCACGAAGCAATGCTGTTTGTGGATTCAAACTCCGGCTTCGTAAAGTCCCTTGGTCTGTCAGCACACAACTAGCACCAAGAATCAGAATACAGTCCAACCAACAGCACACTAGTGACCGCACATTGAACTTCAATTAGTGTTGCATCCCGTCCATGTTTTGGGCCATCGAAGATGAGATCAACAACTGTCATGAAAAGTAAGTGAATGTATATATACATATATATATATATATACACACACAAAAACAAACAAACAAACAAGCACAAAATCACTCAAGTTCGTATCATGCAAAAACCATGTTAACAAAGACACGCTAAACCATCTCTGGTGCAAATAATGAGACCACAAATTTGTCAGTTCTCAATCAATCACACAGCTTCGCAATATCTTCTGAGATGTAAAAGAGAGGCATGCTGCATGTTGCATCCACAGCAATTTTGTTGGTGTATAAAAACAATACAATATGATAAGATGATGGTGATAATGATCATCTAAATGCTTGTTTGGTCATTGAAAATTTGAAAGTTTGGTTTCTAATTTTTTCATGATCGTTTGAAACATTTGAATCCATAGCACTGACATTCTATACATACAAGTGTATATATATATACGATTTTATTAATAAAAGTGGGTATAATTTTAACTCTAATGCAGAACCTGATCAAAATTTTGAGGCAAAACTGTTAATTTCTGAGTCTATGCTGAATAATTAAAATAATGCTTCCTAATCATTTACACTTTTGCAGCATAACTCTGAATGACGTTAATGCCATGGTGAGCACGACGTTTTTTTAGTGAACATTTATAAAAGAAATTCAGTTTGAGAAAAAGGTATGAAATTGTGGACAATTTTTAAAATTTATTCAGCTTCCTCTCTGTATCATGTTACTTGTTAAGGGAGGTATATAAGTACTAATATAATTATCATCAAAAATGTATTATCCCAGGTTATGCTACTTTTCTACCCGAAGTCTTCTCATAAGTGTATTATACCTTGAAATCAAATGTATATTATTCTATATAACTTTTCATTGCGGACTTCTCGAAGTACATGATAACTTGCAACAAAGCGATGATAATCAAAGGATGGAGAGTTTCATGGAGTCTTTGTTGTATCTCCAACAGAACTGAGATTGAGTTAGTATTCATGAACTGAGAGGCATGTCAACAACATGCTGTAGTGAAGAAATTACACCAAAACAGAGCTCATATAACATAACCCGACTCTCTATCAGTATCAGAATGCGATGAAGCGCCATTCCACAACAGCAGGTGAATGGAGAAATTACAGAGCCCTTGAGGGGTTAACAAACAAGGATTCAAGTGATTTTTAAAGAAAGATGTCTAATGCTCGAATGATCACTCTGCCCGAAACAAACCGCCAATAACCCTCCAAGTAAGATGACATATGCACTCTTCGCCTGTAATACAATTTTATTTGCATCCACCCCCCCCCCCCCCCCCCCATATCGGATTTTCAGTAAGCAGAGTCCATTTTCCAAATGGGGGTATATAGACAGCCATACTACCCCAATCCATTCCAGGAGGTAAACTAATATACATTTACCAGAAGGGAAACACGACAGCAGGGAGGGATAATGTCAGTGATGGCCCTGACTAATCCCTGGCCAAATTAACCACTTCAGACAACCTAGTAGTACAGTTGGCAAGGACTAAAGAACAGGAGCTCCTTAAAGCAGTCCAGTCGAATCGTGCCTACCAAAATCTCTAGGGATAAAATGCATGAATCCAGTACCGTGATTGAAACAACTGCTTGCCTTCCTCTCAGACGACATCTTTACTCATCCGAGGGTCGCTCAGCTTTGAACGCATCTGTGTAAATCAGCTCCTACTCAACGAACACGACCTAAGATTAGCCGGCCGTAAAAGCATCAAGTGTTAATTCCACCGCAGGTTGCTTTAACCGAGCTCTACTAATATCATGTCTGTAATACGACATGCTCTCCAGACTCCTCTTCATACCACAATGAACGCTATGCAAAAGCTAGTAAAACTCCTTCCCGAAACCTGAGGAAGACTTGCTCACGAGGCTGCAATCAACTCGTCACAATGAAGCAAGTCCCTTATTCACAGCTGATAGCTGGGAGATAATTGAACGCCATTCGTCAAGTTTTGCATCAGATCCGCTTAACCATGCGGGGGATATGTGGCTGAGAAGAGAAAAGCCTTCTTGCAACATCAGCATTGCCGTCTTCAACTCATCGGGCTTTGATTTCTCCTTCAGCCCGAATGTCTTACGCGGCCCAATGTCGACATCCATAGAGTCGAGATCTACCACTATGGTCTTTTCTTCTGGTAATTCTCGTTCCTTTTGCTGTAGTGTCTGAAAATAAGATGTCCGTTGCCTCTTGGCTTCGTGGTGCAACAGATCGACCTCTGTGTCTGTAACTGTTAAAGAGGCGGACATAGTCTCCTTCTCTAAATAGCTCCTCAATGTGCTCATGAACATGTCGGTGCCACTCTCCGTACTTTCATGCACATCCGATGCAAGCCCTGGATCCGATGGAACGAAACGCCAAAGTTCATTACACGGCGTATGCTCGGCGAAAAAACCAAAGGATGACAAACCCGAATGCACAAGAGCCCAGTGCTGCTCACGCAGGACAGTATGATACAGATACCACAGAGCCTCGCTTGCTGGATTGCCCACCTCCTCTGGAAACTCAAATGAACTTAGGCTGGAAAGAAATTCCGCAAGAGACGTTTTCAAGGCTAAAGCATCATCCTGAGATGCCGACTTCACGACCTCCTCAATCTTTATCAGAAGATTATTGAGGGACTTAGGGCGTGTCTCTTGTTTCAAAAAGAAGGAAACGATGAGAAGTACAGGGCCGATTACGTAACCACTGAATTGATTACCGCTAGAGATGATTCGAGAACTCTTCGTGAAAGAGTCAAATGTTAATCCCTTAATCTCTTGCATCTGTGTTTGTTCAATTCTGTCCCCACTGCAACAAAATGAGCAGGATGTAGGAGTTAGCTAATAGACAGAAACAAGTGAAAATGACATCCAAACTCAAAAAAAATAAAGACGTGTGCATCTTGAGAGTACAATTTTAAATGCGTTTCTTACCAATATCAAACGAAGTTTCCATTCGTAATTGCATGTATTGCTGATGAATGAGATGAGAGAAAAGGAACTATACACTAGGGAAACAGAGATGCCGTCATGTAAGCTTGAACGTACCATTGATTCAAAAGATGTAACAAACACCACATAGCATCCTGCAACCTCCCATCTGAGCTTTCTTTGCCCTCAGTCATTCGTTTGACAGCGGATAAACAGTGTCTCAAGAAAGTGGCAACGTAACCCTCTCTTGCAACTTCTGGTAGAAGTTCCATTGTAAAGCCTTCTTGTAAAAGCACCGACACAATCCTGGAAGATGACTGAGTGGCAAAAGGATCCTCATGGAATATGAGATTGAAGAGGTGTGAAGCTCCCATACTTGGAACCGTTTGAACTAAAAAGCAAATCAATTGCGCCAACCTTTTAACTGCCAGCTGCAGCGGGTCTTCAGCTGATGTTACAGCACGGAGGAGTGACACAAGGCCGGATATATGCCCTTGAATCAATCCTACGTCACTAAGTTTGGCGATAAAGCCCCAGAGGTGTTTGATAAGCTCACCGCAAATCGCATTCGGGTGGAGAGCGTTTTTGAATAGAAATTCCTGGATCTCCATCCATGCTGTTGGGGAACCAGAGGCAAGTACGATGAACTTCTCTAGCACTTTCAACATCCACAAATACATCAACTGTGAATGCGATTTTGTGGTAGAATCAGGTGAAGGTGCCGGAAACAACTGTATCTGCACAAGAGCAGCGTAAACCTCATCCTCTGCAATCGAATTCAAAATCCAGTCTAATCTTTTTGCAAGCTCCACCAGTAAATCTGGCACGTACTTTTCAGAATTCTCGAGCAGCTGCAGAAACACTATCACTCGACTTGGTAGACATCCTCCTTGAGCGCTGTTGTCCCATTCCGGCAAAGATATATCCTTCTCCGGCTCCTCTGAACCTGAACCGAGGTTTTCAATAGCTGGAACAGGCTCATACCCACCGCCTACAGACTGCAGCAACAATACCTTCATACTCATGTTCACCGCAGACGCGCCAAGAAGAGAAGGTAAAAAACCAAAGACTGATGGTGCAACAATCTCAGAAAGAACCCCAATCGCATGCTTTGGTCGTGTCTCGCCAGTGTGACCCAGAAGTAGTGTCGCAAACCTCAGAATGAAGTCCACAACTACAGTTCTAAGGGCGACCGCCTCTTCAGGATAAAAAGAAGACATCTTTGACGCAAGTGTTCCGAAAAATTTCACAAGCACGCAGCGCTTCCTGAACTCCTCCTTTACATCTGAAGCATTAGCTGATTCATTGGAAGGACGAGGAAGCCACACCTCGACAGCCCGCTTCAACGAATAGGTTGCAAGAGATATCAAACGGGCGGTCAACTTTTGAATGTCCACTAGCGGGGCGACAATAGTGCGACTACTTTCCGATAAGGTGAGGATAGTCACACAGCTTCGCCATGCAAAATTAACAAGCACGATGTTCTTCCCACCTGCACTTTGTAACTTTCCCCATTCCACTCTAGCTGACAATATTCCTAGTTCCTCGAGGTCTCGCATCACGGATTTAATAATCTGCAGTGCCTCGGAAGCTCCGTCTTTGGAAACAGTGTTCGATGTAGAATTTGTTACTGTTTGGTTAACTTTGGAAACGACTCGAAGTGTAGCCTGGAGCATTTCCACGCCAACCTTGAACATTTCTGCTACTTGCTGATCATCCGCCGTCGCCACAACAATCACTGATTCTGTCATTAATGTGACTTACGGATGTGTCCAGTAAAACTTAGTATGTGAAATATACGAAGTTGCTTTCACTCACCGCTGTATTTAATAAGCACAGTTCTTTAACCAAGCTCAAAGATTCACTAATAAGTGACGCCACTGATAAAATAACTTGTTTCTCCAGCAAGTATGAGCATTCCACTGCTGCAGAATACGTGGCTGCAGAAAAAGCATTGGTCTCGCCCAGTAGCTGCAGTCACAGACGGGAGGTTATCAAAGACAACCAAGAAATCATCATGCATCTCAAGCGAATTCTTTTGGAGTCAGTAGAGTCCATCTCCGCTACGATTTTGCTTAGCCAAAACCAAATCTTACACCTTTCACCTTTCACCGTCGCAGAGAATCTGAGAACTCTCTCGAGGAGGAAGCGGAGAAAAGAGCGAATGAAATATGGTACACAAAGCCAACCATTTCCTTATTCGATGATACAACAAACAGAATCTAGCTGATGGGGTAACCTGAGTTATGTGACTTCAAAACGATTATTTTTATAACATTCTCAACAGTCTTCATCGATGATAAAGGATTTGAACAAAAAATTCTTTCAATATCCCTCTTGTTTGATCCATAGCATTGCACAAGTCAGCTGCTGACAAAGACAACTACATCAGTACCTTGAGAAGAGCATCTTGCCGAGCTCCCTGAGACTTGCTTTCTGGTAAACTTTGCTTGCACCATGTAATGGCCTGATCATACATTGCACCAAGATGTGATGAAGACTCTCAGTAATCCACAACAAAAACAGTGCGATACCCCCAAAAATAAATTAAACATGACGAGTTAGAAAACAAGAACATGCAGTGCTCATAGAAAGGTACACACATACATTTTATATTCGCTTTGAGAATTTTGACCGTCAACAATTCAGGGTTAAGATGCGGCAAGTAATCAACACGAAAGTGTAAGGCACCTGGTTTTTGTACAAAACTTACCTTTGTAGCCAACTGAACATATTGTGTGAAGATTTGAGGTCCCCTCTGAACAGCCGGCAGCCTTAAACTCCCCACCCGACAAATTTGGGTTCGCCATTTACAATCACGAAGTGCGGAGCCTGCATTTCCTTGCCAACATGTCTATTGTGCAGTTATGGGGAAACTTTGATGACCTAATCAACGTGCCACACAGAACACCGCAGGTGAAACCACGCAATGAAACGCACCCCTTTGTCGACGTGTTCATACCACTATAATCTCTAGTTGTCATCGTCGTTCAGAAATTCTAAAAATTGTGACAAACACCTTCCAACAACATGAAAAGAGATCGCATATAACTTGCTTGGACAGACTTAAAATTATATAAAAGGATACTGTCAGTGTTTCAATAATGTTAAGCTCCTCGGATGAGCTGCATTTGACGAAAGATTTAGAAAGATCCTCAAGAGCTCTCGTTCGATCCTCAGCGACCTGCTTTGATGCAAAGATTCATTATTTACTTTCATCGAACATCGTGTCATATCAACCGAGACAAACGATGCCAAGAACTAGCAGAATCTAAAAAAATACTGCTTGAGCCAAGTACATCGATTATAAGTTGCTAAATCAAGCCATTACAACGGTGATTGGAGTCGCTGATATCAACCAGTTCTCTAAACTTGCAACCTACAGCGATACATATATCTTTCATCATCCTCGAGCAAAACCTTTAGAGTTACTTCGAATGTGACAGCTTCAGCGACAATTTCCGGCAACATCACAGTAAACAGCGAAGCAGTAAACGCAGTATATAAACCAGATGCGGACGTTAAAAACACCAATGAGGACATGAGCAGCTTGCCTTGGATGTGTTCAGAACTTTAAGCACTCGTTGCAGACCATCTCTTTCTCCAATTACCGCCATTGAGCGCACATTCGGGAGCTCACTACTTCCAACCTGGATAATTCTGCTCTAGCTATTTAGAAAAACATCCTTTCCAACCAGATAGCAGTGCAAATCTGCAAATAACCTGTAATAATCGTGCATCACGCACTCAATACAGGTCGAATTTCACTAACTTCGTCAATACGTCCATTGAAGAAGATGACAAATGAGGAATTGGACACAGCCCTAATCAACACACATGTCTCAAAGGGCATGCCTTCTGTAACGGATCGCTCTGACCTAGACACAAAATCTTCAATACTCTCGATGAACGGAACCAATACTATTCATTAAAAAAAGCAGAAGGAGTAGAGGTCACAGGGGCAGATACGCACACGGAAGTGAAATTCGCACGTTCAGGACAAGCAATCGCACATATGGAAAGCAAACTTTTGAAAAAAAACAGAAAATAAGAAAAGCCCGCAACCTAGATTATCCACTCTAATCGAAGAAGAACTGCATTAGAATGACAACTTCTCTAATCAATTGCGCTTTTGACACTATTGGTAAGCTCGCAACCCGGAGGAACCTGGCGATGCCGAGCGCAAAAGCTTCGACCGCCACTTCATAACACCTCTGTCGTCTGTCGCGCCAAAGCTTCCCCTAAACTCAAAGACTCGCAACCATGTTTCATCCATTTATTATTCATTCATTCATTCATTCATTCGTTCATTTCATTCGTTTTGCGTACCTTTATTATGAAGCACAAGCTCTCCGCATATGATCGAAATCCATATATCATGGCGTATCATTTTACTACAAACCACCACTGGCGATCGAAACCTGAAAACATTGTTAGAGTTCGGTTGGAAATTTCGTTTGTGTGTGTTGCGAGAATTTGCAAGCACAACCTTGGAGTCTCACTGAGAGCACAAAAGATTGAATTCGATTTGAAGAATGGATCGTCAGTTTCACGTCGAAATTGAGTGGTCGCTGCAGGTGTTTCAGGTCGCTTGCTTTGACAATGAACGGGGAGTAGCCTCGAATCGAAAACAGATTTGAACGGAGCTACGTAGAAACTAGTCACGATCATGAGCTTACACTGAAATCCAATTGCTGATTCGAAGATCGTGAGCTAATTCAAGATTGGCAACCAGATGAATTGAGTTCGAGAGGAGAGTGTTAGTTTCTTTAGTCTTGCCGATTCGATCGCATCGCCTAAGATGAGTGAGTGTGGAACATGAGTTTCTTCGACTGTGAGAGACGCCATCATGCTTTTAGTTTTCAAAGTCAAAGACAAACGATAGAATATAAGGTACTGCTTACCAGCACAAGGGCCAAGGTTGTAACGGACGCAGAAGAGTAAACTTCACAAGCTTGGGATTCTAAAGTAGCACAGATTGTTGTCTTGAACCTGGACAAATGAGATAGTCATGACTAATTCTCCTGTATTAGAAGTAAGTGAACTGAGTTTTTGAGTTTTTGATAGATAAATGTAAATTTTTATTATTGATTAAAATGTGTGTATATGGGTTTTATCTTGTCTAGGGAGGAGCTACTGATTAGGTCGTGTCTCGATAGGGTGATGTTTTAGTTGCTTTCTTTGTTATGTTTGGTTACTTGTGTGATTGTTTCCAACACAGCCCTTTAACCAAAGCATCACTAAGTAGGGATTTCTTCTCCAAACAATCCAAGTATGGATAAATGTTGGATAAGCTTTGATCCAAAGAGTGACCTTGTGAACATATCAACATGCATTATATATATGAGGCACAATATTGAAACCCAACCTTTTGTTGTAAAGCGAGCTCTCTTATGAAATGATAGCAAATAGAGATGTGCTTTCTATGAGAATGGAAGCAAGTGGTATCCATTAAGGCTAATGCAAATTGATTGTTGCAATACAGTAATATTGGTGTTTTTAGGATTTTGTCATAGTGCAAGTTGTAGAGGAGTAACCACAACTACTTGAGCTCAGACGTAATAGTTGCTATTGCAACATATACCACCTTTGTGTTCAATAATGCCATCAATTTTTGGCGCATGAAGCTCCAATTAATGGCGTCTTATAAAAAAAGAAAAATATAGCCTAATGTCAAACAATGCTAGTTGACCTCTCTTGCTTAGTTGGCATTGCTAAAGCTATGAAGAAAGCAAGGAAATACATTAAAGCATTGATATTCCAAGTAAAAATATAACATACTATAAAGGTATTGAAAGAAGTGCTTGCAGGTGCAAATATATGCAACATATGAGGTATACATATATTAAGTAAGTATATCGACAATGAAGGATAGATCTAGATGAGTGCATAAACTGGTTCAATTTAAAGAGTTTACAATATTTGTATAAGAAAAGACAATACTTGACTTAGGTTGATAGAGAAAGAGAGGTTGTTGGCCACAGAAAAGTACATCTTGGAAACCATCAAAGTTAAGATCGGCTTAGAATCAAGAAATCTAAATTCAACAAGCTTGTCATGGATATAAACCTATTGTAATCATTATCTAGATAGGTAGAATTAGAAAAACGTAGATTAATTTCATAATACCTTTTATAGAAGCTTCTTAGAAGCTTTTTAGACGATGTTTTGATTTACATATGTTTGTAGTTGATTGGTAGGTTAGAAACTTGGTCCACAAGCTACCCATGTACTATATGTGTTGGTAGCTTGGAAAACAAGCTAATTATGTAGCAGCCATATAGAAAACTTGTCTTGCAAGTCAAGATATATATCATGCAAAGTCAACACGTTTTTGAAGGTCCTATAGAATGTCACCACATTAATCTCAGATAGATAGTATATATAGAAACAAGAGTAAAGCCTTCTTCACTCTTATCAATTACTTTTTTGCTTCTAGTCTAGATTCAAGAGTCTCTAGTTTCCTTATATTTTGACAATAGCCATTTCAATTACTTTTTAATATACATATTACTTTATTATTATTTTGTCACTTTTTTTTTGACACAAATTTCTTAAATTTATGCATCTTCTTCAAGTTCATGTCTTTAATAAATTAACAACAATATATTTATAATATTAGAGCTTTATCTTCTCTTGATTAAGAGTGGATTATATTTTTTTCTTAATAAGACATAAGCATATTAGAAGTTGTGGATTACTCTCTTTTAAACTAATATTGTTCTTAATATCTTCTTTATTCTCAAGTCCTTTCTTCTCCTTGTTTTAAGCGATATTAGACTTTTTTTTTCTAAGTGTCATCATAGCATTGCTTCTTGAAATAAAGAGTGCAATGGCATAAATGTAAGAGAAATTAAGAGAGTTGATGCTTACAATACATCAACTCAGTTTATTACCACTTTGAGCAACAAAAATGGCAGGAAGTGAAGATACAAACATGATTGGAGCCGCTTCAATATCTACACCATATCACATTCTTTTTCCTATAGTAGTACATCCTTCTAGTATTAGAGAATCCAGAGTTGCTTTATCCGAAAAGTTTGATGGCACAAGATCCAAATTTCAAGGATTTATCAATCAAATAAAATTTATGATTTAACTTTAATTTCAAAGTTATTCAACGTTGTGATCACAAATTAGATTCATTGATATATTTTTTTTTTTTTTTACATTTAGCATTATTATGGTGTTCATCTTTTCTTGAACAATGAGGTCTAATATTGGATAATCTGGAGGCTTTTTTGGTGGAATTTTGATTTATGTATGGAAAACTTGATGCAATTTGTGTTGCAACCAATAAAATTCAAATCTTACAATAGGACAATTGATCAATAGCATCATATGTTTTACAATTTTGACAACTAGCAATTGATATCAAGTGAGACAATGTTACCTTTATCAGCCAATTTTATGAGATAAAGAAATTAATGCTCAACTTACTTGATCGTCAGATATTGAGTCAAGCAATCGATTTTGCTATGAAATGTGACAATTGGCTTTTTGAATTTCAATCTAAGAATTGTGCAAAAGAACCTCCATACTATTACAATTCAATGACAATACCAATGACCTTTCAATCTAAACATCTAGAAGTAGAAGACATGCAAATTACTAAATAAGAAAAGACTCATTGTTGTCGAGAAGGACTGTATTTATATTATAGAGAAACTAAGCACACTACTTAATATTATCTAAAGAAAGAATACTTAGTAGCTTTCCATTCCAAAAAATTCTCAATAGCCAAAATCAACTATGATATTTACAAAAAAAAACTTCTTGTAATTGTAGATTCTTTTTAAGAATAGTAACATTATCTAAAAGGTGCTTCCAATCTAGTCACCATATATATGGACCACAAGAACCTTGAAAATTTCATTTTAGTGCGTGTTTTGAATTGTCACCAAGCTTGTTTGAACATGTCTTTGTCAAGATTCGAGTTCAATATCACTTATCGATTAGAAAAACAATAAGATTTGTTTAATGTCCTTCTTAAATATTCTTATCTTACACATAAAGAAACAAAATCATCTTTTGATCAATAAAAGATAATTTTATTCAAACCATAAAAATTTCATCTTTAAGTATTGAAATTAACATTAGTTGTTGATTCAATTTTTTTAAAACAAATTCAATCAAATATGTCCTCTGATTTTCTTATTTATAATATCAAAAATATTTCTTCTAAGTCTTGTGATACTTCCAAATTTGAATTCAAGAATAATCTGCTTTATTTTCAAGGATGCCTATATATTCCAGAAGAAGAAGCATGTTTACAAATTCTTCAAGCATGTCATGACTTTCCGACAGCAAGACATTTTGGATATAAGAAGGCTTTGGAGCTAATATCCAGAGATTTTTGAAGGCTAAAAATGTGGAAGGCTATAAAAAAACTTTGTTCAATTATGTGACATTTTTTCAAAGTCAAAAATTTCTTGTCATTGACCTTATAGACTTCTTCAATCATTACCTATTTTAGAACAACCATGATCTTCTATTTCTATGGATTTTATTATGGATCTTCTAGTCTCAAGTTTGTATGATTTTGTATTTGTGATAGTAGATCATTTTAACAAAATGGCATATTTTGTACCATGCACAAAATCTATCACACATCAAGAAACTGCTAAGCTTTTCTTTGACAATATCTATCAATATCATATATTATCAAAAGATATTATATCAGATATAGAGACTCAATTTGTATCAAGCTTTTAGAGAATTCTTTTTAAGATTCTAAAGGTGGACATAAAGCTTTCTTCTTTCTTTTATCGTTAAACTTATGGATGAACAAAGCACGTAAATCAAATTTTGGAGCAATATTTAAGATGTACCATCAATTATTAATAAGACAATTGGAGAATCTTCTTACCATTGATAGAGTTCGCTTATAATAATATGATACATTCTTCTATACAATAAATAGCTTTTTTTGCCGATTATGGTTACCATCCACAACTTGATACTTTTGATTTTTTAAAAGTTAATAATCTTGCAATGAAAGATTTGGCAAATCGTTTGTCAAAGCTACATGCATCAATGAAGGTACAAATAAAGGAAGTTTAAGAACGACAAAAGATCAATGTGGATGCCTATCAAAAGAAACAACCATAATTCAGTATAAGTGACATGATATGGTTATTTTATTGTAATATCAAGACTACTCGTCCTTGTGATAAGTTGAACTACCACAAGCTTGAACCTTTTTTAATTTGTCGATAAATCAATCTAA